GGAGGAACTGTTTTGTGATCCTGGAATGTATTTTTTTACAATGACATTTGTTACATATGTGATTTCAGAATATTAAATGATGGTTTTGATGTTTGCAAAAATGAAAAATTGTTTTGAAAATTCACGTTTTTACATTTTTGTTTCATGATTACACTAAAACTAGAAAGCCACATATGTACTATAACATATATCTATCAAATATAACTTTATGAATTGTTTCACATTATCTATCACAAGTTAATAAATTTTTTTTTCTCTTTGTAATTAATCTTTTTATTATCAATTTCGTAATTACTACCCCACACTTAAACAATACAATGACCTTGTTGTATATAAGTGTAGAAATAAGGTAAATAATACTATTCCCCTGTTAAATAGTGGCAAGAGCTCTTTTAATGTCAAAGCTCTTTTTTCTTCTTATAGTGTAAATTAACAATAGCTTATTTTCTAAACCCAATGAATAGTTCTTCTAAGTTGTGCATTCTTTTACAACATATAATCTCAGTGGGACTATTTCTTTGCGTGCGATCTATTATTGCGGTGAGATATGCAAACTAAAGAGAATTTAGCATTTGAAATTTATAAATGTTATACTTTTAAATATCTATGTATTTTATAAATAGCTTATGACATTGTATGAAAAACCCCACATTTATATGAGAGCATAACTAAAAATAAAATTGAACTTCCTAATAGCATATAATATTGTCTTACACACCAAAAAAGAATAATAAATAAAAACTATTGCAGGCATCACACAAATAAAATAGTCTTAAATCCAAACATCACAAATAAACCAATTTCCTTCATGAAGCATCTTTGGGTCTTGGCAAGAGAAATCACAATAGTATGGATATGATCTATATGGATCGAGAATTGGTCCTAGTCAGCTATGTGGTTAAACCAATCTGATATCCATATAACCACTGAATTCGACCATCTCCTCCACACATATGATATGGCTGATGATCCAGAATATTTCCCATGTATGCAAATTGAGTAGACACTATTTTAAGCTGTTGGCTGACATATGATAATGAGATTTCTCATTCTAAAAATTATAGGCCTCGATTTTTGTGACATTCGGCTCTGCTACTCTCAACTCTAGATTCAACTTGTACTTCCTCATCCTTTACATCCTCATCTTCATCAGTTGCACCATCATCTATACGGATCAAATTTCACAAATTCTTCGGATCTTGTTTCAGAATTCTCATATCTTGCAGATATCTAATAGTGATAAATGTTCTAGAAATGGCGTTAAAAGTTTGAACAACATCAGGTTTAAGTTAGTCAAAGTGTCTTGCAAGCTTAGTGAAAATATGACCACCCTGAAAGGATTTGGTTAATCTTCCTTTCTTCATCTAGTAGTAGGTTAACAGAAAATGAATGTTTGCATTCTCTTTGGAAATCAAGCAGTAGAGTGGAAGAATGTCCATTTCATTGACTTTGTTGAAATTTTCTCTTTGTTGGAGAGAGGTGACAATACGGCGATGGAGTAAGATTGTGTAGCAATTTGATTCCAAAAATCTTCCACTGAGTAACCAAGAGTAGGCGTGGTAATCCTCGATCCAACCCGTAACCCGACACTGATCCAACACAAAAATAAACGGGTTTGGGTTGAGATTTTTGACTCGCCAACCCGTTTATTTCATGGGTTGGGTTGGGTTACCTGTTTGGGTTCGCAAGTCAACCTGCCAACCCGATTGTATATATATATATATATATATATATATATATATATATATATATATATATATATATAGTTTAAAAAATATATTTAATTATTTATCAGTTTTGAATATTTAATTATCATTTAATCATTTTTCGAATTTCAAAACTGCAAAACATCTTCGAGTTGAATTAGCATCCCCTAGCCCCTAATAAAAAAGAAATTCAATCTTCAGTCTCCAAACTCACAACTCCCTGTCTCCTGTCTCCGTTGATTGAGGCATTGAGTCATCGACTGTTGCAATGTCGCACACACACCACTCGTCTTCTCATCCTCCAACTATCGCACACCACTTCTCGTCGTCACTCCTATTTATAACTTTATGTTGAATATTTAAGATTTTATGGCTTCATTTTATGTGTATTTTTTAATTTCATTTTAAAATGTGGTGCTTATTAAATGGGTCATATGGGTGGGGTTCGACCCACTGACCTACAAACCCAATAACCCATATACTTATACTTGTTATATAGGTTATATGGGTTGGGTTGGGTTGATGTTTTCAACCCGCTAACCCGTGACCCAGCAACCCATATATTATATGGGTTGGGTTGGGTCAATGTTTTCTGACCCGCCAACCTATGATCCGCCAACCCGAACCCAACCCAATTGCCAGGCCTAACCAAGAGGTCCAAACTTGTAGGCTGTAGTAAAGAAGGGCATGGATGCATTTTTTCAGTTTCTTCAAGCATATAGATTCGTGAGGCAATTACAAATTCTATTAGGATTAAAGTTATATTGAACCAGAATGTCATACACGTATGTATGGCTTCTTGAATCCCAATGTTAAAGTTGTAGGTTGTGAAGAATTCCATCCATAATTTTTTGTAGGTAGTTTCACAAAGATGAAAAACTTAATCCATCACTGACATATAAAACTCTTACATCGTCTTCTTGATAAAACTACTATAAGTATTCCATAAGAGACTCGTATAGATTAATTTGTTCCAATTAACTCCAATTTAGTGCATAATGCGGAAGAAGTAGCTTAGATTTCACGATCTTGCATGTCACCTTTTCGCATTCATCTGTAATCCAATCCATTGTGAGAATAGAATGTTTTGGATAACAATCCCTCTGGTTATCTGAGTTCCCCTATACATGATTCTAAAAAAGGAAAACTTAATGTGGAAGAATGAAAATCAAAAATTCATCAGAAGAAAACGGTTGTGAGATTACAAATCGCGACACTAATTTCGGTTGGAATTATCACGGAGTTTTAATCTGATCAATGTAATGCCCAGATATCAAGAATTGTTGTGTAAGGGTTTATTCTAGAGCATATAATAAAAGTTTATTCATAAAAAATTCATGAGTTCATAAAGTTTGTATATGAGATCAAAGTTGAAGATTTCTAAGATAATATTTCAAGAATTTAACATGATTATGGATATATTGATACTGAGTCATTGTAATATACATGTTATATTGTCACCTTATTGAGGAATAAGTGAATAAAATACGGATTTGGAGGTCTTGAATAAAAATCATGTTGAAAGTGACAAAGAAATTTTGTAAAGAGTTAGACGAAATGCAACCCTATAGGGGTTTATATAGGTGATAATGAAGGTTTAGGATAAGGCAGGTGTATCTTATATAACCCTAATCCCTTAACTTCCTCCATAAGGCTTCCAAGGCACCCTTAGAGCCCAAGGAAACCCTAAGGTACTCTAGATTTCGTTCCCCACCTCTAAGGGAGGTTCTAGAATGCTTCAATGCTCAACTTTTGAACATTGTCACCTTTAGTCCCTGCAGTTTCAATTAATTCCTTTAATCTTAAAATTAATTCAAAATTAATTTCTGATTAAATATTAGTTAAACAATATGATTTCTAATCAATATATTATATCCATAATACATTAATAAATCATTTATCTTGATTTCAAATTAATTTATTAACTAAATAATAAATTAATAAATCATTCTTCTCTCTCCAACAATTATCCTATTCCATTGCCAGGTTTGCAGGCAACCCAAAAGGACATTGCTACTATCGATACAAGTACATACCAATTATAGTTATGGGAACATACACTTAATCCAACAAAAAGAGAAAAGTGTAACGTGCGTGATCGACGAGCCAAGTAAGTAGTTTCCCCAATATGTTAGCCATGTTGTATTGATATGTGAGTTATGATAATCGTATGAATCTTGCTACGTGTATGCTTTCAAAATTCTATACAGTTAGGATCTTATAGCCTCAAAATGATCGATTTGGCCTTATTTCCTATTCCTTGTTTGGTTGTGGTTGATATTTTCATAATTAGTCATATGTTTAGTATAGATTTTTATCAATTATTAGCTAATTATTTGCACAATATGGACAAAAGGTACTTAATAATGTCTAAATAATATTTTCAGTCTAGGAGACATGCTTGGAAACAAAAAGGAAGAAGGAAAAGCAATTGGAAGCTAGAGAATGAAGAAAGAGTTGAAAATTTGCACTTACTCGGCGAGTCCACGCACCTACTCGCCGAGTAACCAAGAATATTCGCGAAGAAAAGTCAAAAATCCTTACCGTCACTACGAGAAAAACAGCCTTTTACGACGCTCATTGGGCGTCGTAAAAGGCTTAGACGACGCGCAAATGCGTGTCAAGGAAGGCCCTGTCATAAAGAGAGACGACGCGCTTTTACGATGCTCATTTATGACGCGCAATTACGACGCGCGTGTTAATGACACGCAATGCGTATCAAGAAAGCACATGTCAAGAAAGGCTATGTCATAAATGAAGATGACACACATTTTTGCGTATCATAAATTTAAATGTTTAAAAAAAAAATTTATATATTTATTAATTTTTAAATTAAATTTGCATTTAATTTCTCATAATAGAAATAAAACACCATATACGAAAAATACAATCCATTGCACAAAAATTAATGTCATACACGATACAAAATAAAATACAATAAATAGGTAAGATAATTCATTGCATAAAATGTCAAATACAAGTAATCATCGGTAACTATATAACCTAGTACTACATTGCTATTAAGGGACATCGTCATAACTCACTGAAGGTCTTGGAACAATGTTCTCAGCATCAACTCTTACTCCAACCTCGCTTTAGTAGATGACTTTCACACAATCAATATTGAAATAGATGCTGCCCGGGCCACCATAAACGCTGCCCGAACTTTCCGAGTTCAAACATCCATTGTTTGCTTCATCTCTGCTAACCTCTTTCTGCTTCAAGAACACAAAAGAAAATGAAACCATGAAAATATCACATGAAATTTAATACCCTCATAAAATGATATTAGGATTAAGGGAGTTGAAGGTACTTGTATTCTTCGAGGAAACAACTATCATCAAGATCATCTTCTAAATCTTTGAGTTCTTCTGTCTTGTTATCAATCCGAGATTTGGTTTTAGGTTTGGAATCTTCGTCTTCTGCAGGAGTGAAGGGATCGGGATTGAAGGCAGAGGGTTTAGGAGGTAAGTTCCTGAGTTTTCTTTGAATATCATCCCATTGAGTTGATACTCCTTCAACATCTTTGTAGACAAAGTGAAGATCAGCTTTATCACTTGGCTCCCAAGATCTCTACATGCATAAGGAATAATGGGTATTAAGATTTAAGAGATTACATAATAAAAGTTATAGAATCTGAATTACAATATAGATCATACCTTCATATATCTTTCCTACCCATCAAATCCATTTGTAGTTTCAGCTGACTTCTGGTAGAAGCTAGGATTAAAAAAAAAGCAATTAAGTTAGCTTTATCAAATTTAATACATGAATTTGGTAACTTTTTAAGGAAATTGATAAAATAGTAAGAACATGTGTCTCCAAAGAGCCAAAACCTCCTTCAGAATCAAGAATGTTGATTAGCCCTTCCAATCCTCCCATGATTGACTCAATGAGTGACTCAACATATAAAACTGCATCTCGACCAATTCTAGTTAACTGCATCAACCAATCAATATTCAGTAAATTTCCCTTCAAAAGATAAAATAAAATTTACATATAAAATTTAGAGTAAGTTACACTTTCGGCCCCTGTTCCAAGTAAAGTTGGGAACAAGAACCAAAAATGTTACAAGCCTTCTTTTCCAGTAGACCATTCCCTTCAGATAACAAGCCTTCTTTTCCAGTAGACACTGTTGCTTTCTCCAAATGTCTTATGTTAATTGAAGATCGTGCAGAAGTAACAATCATTGAAATTGATAACCAATCTTTACATAATTCTTGTTTATGTAATTTTTAAATACATTATATACATGAGTATAAATATAAATAAATAAAACAAAACCATGTCACAAATTTGAATGGATTAAAATTAAATATTATACTTACTGATAAATCACATGTAATTGCGGAGATATTTCCACCCTGTGGTTTTGGAATATTTTCAAGATGGTCAATTTTTTTTGGAAAAGCCCTATTAGAGTGGTGTCCAAGTCAAGAGCATGATATTAACTGCATTGTCAACTATCATTCCAGGTATAACCTTCATCAACACTTGCACAACATATTCCCACTTGTTGTAGTTGTCATTGTGTAGCGTCACTCGATATGGTGGTGCCATTTTCCTTGATTTCCTTAAAAAAAAAAAAAAGGGTAAATCGACCTAATCTTTTACTATATGCATTTCAAACTTCATTAAAAGTGATACAATACCTCAAGTCAAACTCAGACTCTCTTCCAGGAGTTGTTTTCTCTATTACTAGCTTATCTAACACCCCAGCACCCTTTTCCAGCCTTAGAGGCGCCATTATCATAACTGTGATCCCTTTTCCGCTGAAGATGACGGGTAGGATAAACCATACCCTCTCACAGCTGTAAAAACATTGTGTAAATATTTAAACCCGAGCCTCAAGGGTAAAAAGGTAATTAAACATTTTATACCCTCACCTACAATGTATTTGTGGGATCATTTGCATTCTACACATGTTGACAAGTCAAACTTGTTAATTAATATTATATATATATATATATATATATATATATATATATACATAGAAAAAACAATAATTTATGAAGTAATATCTGCCCCCACCTATTCACAGAAGCTCTCTCTTTGCATCATAAAAGTCACATGGCCTGCCATAATATGGTCTTTTGCACCCATCCTCACAAAGATACGATCAATGGGGAGACATCTTAAAGATTTGCGCAGGCACATCTGCCCCCACCTGGAACATCCATCCATAACTAACTGTATGAATATTGAAAATAATACCAAATTGTATGAACATCCATCCATAACTAACTGGAGATCCTGTTTCAATATCAATTGCAAGAATAGAACAATCTGGAGAACCAGTGACGATCACTGATGACAATGACACACATTCAAAATCAAGTTTAAAGAAACAGCAACTACGTTGCTACTGGGGGTAAAAAGTAAATTACATGGCTCAAGAGTATATAAAGTATAAACAATGTTGGTTCATTACCAAGTCCTTCATTGATAAATCTAACAGCTCTACAAGATTCACCGTGTGCACGAACTTTCAACACCCTGAAATGATAGTTTTTAGAGAAATCACATTATAAGAACGGTTTTTAATGATGAAATTACCCCTAAAAAATGTTATCTAACAAAATGAGAGTCAACTACCTCATGGTGAGCGGATTCTTCAAGTTTATCTTTCCTGAAAGATGAAAGCATGGAAGAAGCTACAGCAGCAGTAGTTGCAGCTGCAAGCACATCCTGGGCTTCCTTGTGCCTTCTCTCTTTTCTCCCCTGTTTCTTGTCTTCTCTAAGCTCAAAAAGATATTGGCTCACCAACACAGCATCCCGGTTTCATTTTCTTAGTGTCTCAATCTCTTCTAGAAGAACCTTGATCACCTTTGAAATCAAATCATCTAAAACAATAAATAAAAAAAACATCACAAAGTAAAACATCCAACCTTCTTATTTTGATACTTAGTAAGTTTCAATGATTAAATTTTCAAACTTACATGGTATCAAGGATATCATTCATAGGATTTAAACAATCATGGTTCCCAAGATTGGAATTCACCCTGGTATCACACTTAGATTCTATAGCCTTAGTTTTACCATTGTCAGAATTATTGACCAACAGATCAGAAGCAGGATAGGATTTTGCTGATATCTGCAAGAAAAAAAAGTTAAAGTTATTGTTAGATTCTCAAAGCCACCAATCTATAGTCATCAATATACAATCACAAAGTTGATTATGTGACAACCTTTTCCATAGAATCAGGAGAAGACTGCCCCTGATTATCTACAATGAAAGATTTATAATTTGGCTACCCTTAAAATCCTTTCCCTTCTCCACTTTTTCCTCTTTTATCCTAGAATCCACACTCTCTTTCCCATTATGCCCCTGCTTATCTACAATGAAAGATTTATTATTTGCACCAACAAACTCGTGTTTCTTTTGATGATTCCAATGGCTAACACTCCCCTATTCCAATTCCCACTATGACTTCTGTTATTTCAACCTTTATTACCCTTATTAACACTATTATAGCTTCCTCTTTTGTTATTCCCTCCATTCCAGTTACTACCTTTGCTTCCAGAAACATTGGGATGAATATCACATGTACCGTACCCCTTCACAGTAGCAGTCCCTGCATTTCCAGCTTTTTTTGTGACCATAGTGAACCCCTCACCATCTTTATCAATCACATCCTAAATATCACTCTTGACAACCTACCATTATTCCAGCAGTAACAACTATGGCTGGATAATTCTAAGCTTTTACCTATTCAAATTAGACACCCATCAGTAATTAACTTCAACATTTTCATTTGATGATCTGTCAGATGGATTTATGTCAGTTAAACTGAAACAAGATACATTGGCACACACATTGTCAACTGGTGAATATGATTTCATGTAAAAGTAGAACTCTTCTTTCCGAGGATCACCCCATTCCTGCAATAGAGCAAGTCATTCACATTTAGAAAGAAACATACTAATATTATCATAGCATCTTGCTTTGAGTTTCCAAAACAAAAAAAATATTATATATAAATCACCTCCCATTCTGCAGTTGTAAGAGGAATAGTTGGACCAAGCATTGTAGTCACAACATCTACAAATGGTACTCTAGCTATAGTAGCCTTAAATAAATCAGGTCTCATGTTCACAACATCACCAATAAGCAACCCCCCTGCACTTCTTCCATTAATGGATAGCTTTTCTTTCGTACAATATTTCTTTTGGTCTGAGAAGTTTGAGTTTCACCTATGTCGTTGGGTGATTGAAGGCGATGAGGCTACATTTTCTTCTTAGAGAGAGGGAGGGCATGAAAGTAAACACAAACCTCACAGATTAGAGAGGTTATCGAAACCAATAAGGGGAACACCAATGAAAAATCTAACGGATTATTGAGAGAAAAACTGATTTTTGTTTGTTTAAAAGCTAGCGAAGTATCAAGAAATTTCCAATCCAGGAGAATTCAGAAAGCAGATAGATAGGTACCTGATTTGACTAGAAGCGCAATTAGACTAGGGTTTGTAAATTTAAGGAGTCGATGTAAATGGAGTAGGGTAGAGGTGAAGAGGAGTTCAGTTACGAATTTTATGTTGAGATTATTGTGTCTAAATTTCGCCATAAAGAGATGATCGAGAGAGAATGGTCTTCGATTTTTGGAAGGAAGCGAGGCTGTTACAGAGAGGGGGGATCAAACTCACATGGATATCTAAGGAGAGAGTGAGCGGTCTTCGATCCGATCGAGAGAGAATCATCGCCATAAAGATACGATCGAGGAAAATCGTCTTGAGAGGGGAAATTATTTGGGAAGAACTTGAAGCATTTGAAACCCTAGACCTTGATTCGATGTAACTTGACAGTGGACATTGTAGATTGATAGATTGAAGACCTGGAGCGATCCCTTGTGAAGAAAGCTGTGTGATTACAGATAGTCCTTGTTGACCGGATCCAAAGATTCCGTCAATGGCTCTATCGGGTTTGGTTAAATCCCCAGTTTGGAATGTGCTACATCTGGTTCATGAACTTGCCAAGTCAATTAGGGTTTTTTTTAATGAAAAACGAAAGGGGTTAATGGATTAGGATGATGCTGTACCTGAGAAAACAAAGAAAAAGAAGGAGACCTTGCAGATCAATTACGATTCACCTTCGAGGTTTACAGAGAGACGGGAGGTAGAGAATAAAGTGAGATCTAGAGGAGAGAGTATCAGAGAGGGGAGAGTGGATTGCAAGTATGAAAAATAGATAGAAGATAGAAAAAACAAGGCGGGTTTTCAAAATTTTGGGGATTTCGTTTCCCCCTTCATTAACTAAAAGCGCGTTTCATTAAAATTATAAAGCGACATGTACAGATGACGCGCGTTTAAGATAAAGCGCCCGCCGTGTTTCTAATTTTTTTTCTTGAGACACTAAATTAAGGGCACGCAATAATGCGTGACGTAAATCCTTAAATTTTTTGGAGAGATAACACTATTTTAAGTGCACATCCTATTGCGTATCGTTAATCAGCACGTGTCGTAAAAAGCGCGTCATTAAAGGTCTATTTTCTAGCAGTGCGTACACGGATTTCTCCTATCTACTCGGCGAGTTGGGCATATACTCAGCGAGTAGACCCTGTTTTGAGATAACTATAAATATTGGTTGAGATTCCAAATTAAGGAGTTTTTTGGCTTCCTTGGAGAGCAACCTGCGACTGGAGATACCTTTAATGACGTGAAGAACCCTAATCTTTGATCATTAAGAAGACTTAAGGAGAATTAGGTTAAATCTTCCACTTAATCTAGAAGTGAATCATGTTTAGTTTAATTGAATTCGTTTTTAGCTTTTCTATGACTGTAATCATGAGCTAAATTTCGTAGTTTCTGTTTAGGAAAGATTAATTTACTCCTATGGTGTGATTTATTACTTTGTTTGATTGATTAGTGGTGATTTTATTAAAATAAGTTTGTTAAAGAACCTTATGCATTGATTATGACTATTTTCCGTTAATTGGAACACAATTAGGCTGCATGAACATCTCTTAATTGCTAACCTCATATGATTTATGTGAACACTTCATTATATGCCAAGGATTAGTGTATATGAAACTAGGATTAATTAGAGAATGGGTAAATTAATGTGTGAGCCTATTTGGTAAACCAACAAACAAGAGGTTAGTTAAACCCCTAATTTGATTAACCAATTACAAATCTTATTTAATCCAAATACTTGAAGTAGGGAGCTAATTAGTTTAGACAATTGGCCACTGCTTAAATCGACTAATGTCCTAAGGATTGGTAATAGAGAATTTGAACCTAATCACTATAGTTGGTAACCAATAACAATCAATATAATACTTTATCATAAAAATGACCATAGGAGTGAATTAATTGGACCTAACAGAAACCTTTTATTAGTTGTTTAGTTAATTACGTGTTAGGAGGTGTGTTTAAGTTTCTAGTCTTGTACAACTAGAAAAAAAAACCTTTACTTTATTACATGTTTAGTTAAAATTAGTTATTAGTTTTATTTTCGTTCCCTAAGTTCGATACCCTACTTATTTAACTATACCACTAAAAGACAAGTTCACTGCCTTTGTGTGCTAAAAATATATTTTTAAAGTAGGAATAAAACCAGTGCATTTTACCCACATCAGTGGTCTTAGGGTAGAGTCTATTATTCGAAAGTCTATTTGATCCTTTTCTGTGTATAACTTGCATGCATAAGGCAACCTGTTATGATTGTTATGGTTAGAGAAAATCTTTGGATGACCTAGTATTTGAGATATATGGTAGCCTATGAGATATGGTTTGTGTTGGGACGAATTAGAATTATCAGATATAGCCTTGGCAAAGGTACAGGTACGTGTGGAAGGTAGTATTGGGCCTGTACTACTGAAAGCATAGGAGCTATACCCGAACTAATGTTAGACCTAGAAACTCTAAGGAGGACCAATATGGGAAGATCCCCTCTATGGAACATCCTGATCATTATGTTTTATAGTATTGCAAAGTAGTATGGTGGTGACACGGTTTGGAGCAGAAGGATCAGGATCGGGGTCTGGGTTAGGCGACACTACTATGCCCATTGACAAGTGGTTGCATGAGGTCATTGCAACAGAGGTTAAGAGGGACATCCTTGATGCTACCCCCGTTATCTTTGGGACGGACAATGAGGTTATGATGGAGATCATTGAGGAAAAGCTCAGGGAATTTTGAGCTGAGATTGTTGCGGGCCAGGTTGGGGACCGAACTCCCTCATTTTGGGAGTTCAAGGCGTGTCGGGTGTCAGAGTTTTTAGGGATCACGGACCCCATTTTTATCCAATGTTGGGTGGCGGATATAGAGAACGCCCAATGCACGAGTTCTTTCCCGAATATGGAAAATGTGGGTTTTGCTTCATGTATGCTGAGAGACAGAGACCGAGATTGGTGGGGAGAGGTGACTAGCCAAGTGGGAGCAGCCGGTGTGGCTGAGATGACATGGGTTGAGTTTGTTCGGTGATATGATCTGGAGTTTGCACCACCTATCGAGGTGCAGTGATGAGTGAGGGAGTTTCATGAGCTTCAGCAGACCACCGAGACTGTGGCAGAGATCGTTGCTAAGTTTTGGGAAGGAGCATTGTTGATTCCACAGTATACTACTGATGAAGACATGAGGATGACGAGGTATCATTCCATGTTGAGGGATGATATCAACAAGTTTGTGAGTTTCACCGGGTGCAAAACCCTGAACGTGATTGTAGAGAAGGCCCGTAAGCGGGAAATAGATTTAGACTTTCGCACTAAGCGGAAGCCTGAGCAGGTGCAGACAATAGTAGGTTTGGCTAAAAAGCCTAAGACCTCAGATTCTTCTGGTAGGGGCCAGCAGGGTCGGGGGGGTGCCAGGTGGGGTAAATTGCATAGTGGAGCTTGTCGGACAGGCGTTTCGGGATGCTGTGGGTGTGGCCAGTCAGGCCACGTAATCAGGGATTGCCCCCAAGAAGGGCTTGATTTGTTTTCACTTCAAAACCAGACCGGTCATAAGCAGGCCGACTGCCTGAGGTTGCATGGAGGGGGAGGAGCAATGGCAGTGCCTATGCCCAACACACTTAGGATCACAGATGGATGCCCTACTAAGGTGGATGCCCCAACGGTGAAGAGCCGCACATTTCAGTTGACTACCAAGGAGGCTCGGGCAGCGCCAAATGTTGTAGCTGGTACGTATTCTATTATCCCGCTCTATATTTATTTGCATTTCTTATGTGTGTATCGTACCTATGTATACGGACCCTTTTGATCATTGGTATACTAGCTCACATTCTATTCGACTCGTGGGCTACCCGATCATTTGTGTCTCTTGTGCTTAGCAAGAAGTTTGGGATACATCGGGGACTTTTGGTTCCCCACTTGAGGTGGAGATTGCCGATGACCGCATCGTCAATGCTATGAGGGTGTATCAGGACCGTGTCTTGAATGTTCTTGGGGAGAGGTTTCATATTGATGTAGTCCAGATACCATTGTGAGGATTGAAGGTGAATGTTGGGCTGGACTGGTTAGGGGCTAATGGGGCCATGATCGACTGCGAACATCAGCTGGTGAAGGTTCAAACCCATAGTGGGGGAGAACTGGTTATTTACGAAGAAAGGGCCTCGCAGGAGCCGATCCTCTATTTAGCTTCAAGGGCAAGGATATTACTTCATCACAGTGGTTTGGGAGTTTTTTATGGGTTTTGAGCATTCTAACACTCCTATGTTGTACATGCAACCCTAGAAAACTTGGATCTATTTTTTCTCCAAGATACATGCAAATTTGGTTTTTCCAAGGTTGTCATCCTAACTAGCATGTTATGGGGAACTTTCAATATAAAACCTAGTAGAATGATATACCTTTGTGTGTTGATTATTCCTTAAGACCTTCTGAGCCTAGCATCCCAAGTGTGATGCCTCAAACGATTCACAAAACACCAAAAACCCTTGGAATAACTTGAGAGAAGAATACTTCACCACAAAATGGGCTAGCCCTCTTTGTTCTTGTATGGGTGCCGATTTTGCTATCCTATGGGGTCCTTTTATAGTATGCCACATGTAGGGTTACATCATGTAAATCCTAACGTGCATGGCTTTTCATTTTCCCCATGACCCACGGGTTTTAACCCGCATGGAATATCCATGGAGCACCCAATGGGTCCTAGCC